CTTTAGATTATTCTCTTAAAGTTATATTGAACTAAATATTTATTAAAATTGATATTTTAATTCTATAGTGAGTCAAACTTTTTTTCTATAGGGAGTCAAACTTTCATTCATCTCTGTACATTGTTTTAAACATAATGACTTCTTACACCATGAACATTTTACTACAGCTATATTACTGAAACTTTCGATATCATATGTTGTTGAAGTTTTGTTAAATTTATATAACCACATTTTTAAACCACGAATATTTAAATTAGTTGTGATATCGCGGGGATGACAATTGATTATGTATCAATGATTGTAATTTTATTACTTTCCAATAATAAAACAATATGTGAAAACCTTTTAGCAAAATTTTCCCAAATTCTAAATTCGTAGACATCTAATAGTTGTATTTTCCCCGTAGTGTCTTTCGGTATAATCATAGTAGTTGTTGTGGAACTTATGATATTTATTCAAATTCGGATACATGAAAGAATGAAGAAGTTAATAATACAGATGCACACAAAACATATTCGTTACCAAGAAAGAAGAAGGGGAGAGAGCGTTAACATACATTGAGGAGCGCAGCAAGCGCCATGAACTACTGAGTTACCTAGATGGTACTATAACAATGAAAATATATAATAATCTCCCTCTCTTAATGAGACTTTAATACTGAATGTAATCTTTAAATCGCTGAGGCTCTCGACGCTGTCTAGCTGGCCTAACTGGAGGTTCCGGATTTGGTTGGTGCCTTGTATGTTGTTGCTGTTGACGCCTTACTTGAGGATCCGGCAGATAAATAAAATCATAATTGGATAAATCCGGTTCTTTTTGAAACGTAACCTGTTTTCGATTCTGTGTAGACTTCTCTGGTGTCTGAACCTTTGGGATTGGCGTAGACAAGCTTGTCGTCCGGAGCTGGTCAATATGACGTTTCAAAACATGACCGTTGTCAAGTTTTACTTGATAGTGTAATTTCCCAAATTTCTGGAGGATGGTACCCAATCTCCATTCTGATTTATTAGGAAGGTAAGTTCTGACTATGACCCGTTGACCCACTTTAAGATGGCGTACTGGAGAAACTGGATTCGGAGCGGGTTTGTAAGGTCGGAATGCATCCATTCGTATATGTATTTGTCGATTAAGGTATAATTCTGCTGGACTCTTCCCATCGGCTAAGGGTGTAGCCGGAACCCTAAGAAGAATTTTTTGAATTTTCTCGGTAATTGAGCCTGGTTCGTCTTCCATCCGGATTAGTTTTGATTTTAGGGTTTGAACATATCTTTCGGCTAAACCGTTGGTTGCTGGATGACCTGGAGCCGTGAACATCTGGAAAATACCTCGAACCTTACAGTAGTTTTCGAATTCCGGATTTTTGAAGATTGTTGCATTGTCCGAGACTAGATTCTGTGGATAGCCGTGCATAACAAAAATATCTTCTAATAATTTAATAGTTGACTCTCTGTAGTAGGTGCTTTTGATAGGATCCGGATTTCTGGCCACTTGGACTTAGCATCGACTAGAATAAGAAAATAGTATCCATTTCGTGGACCCGCGTAGTCAATATGTATCCGATCGAAATTCTCTTTAGGCTGCTCCCAACGATGAAGAGGGGTTTTGGTTGGTGCTTTTTGGTGCATAATACATTTTTCGCATGATTGAACTAGTTTATTGATGTCTGAATCAATCGATGGCCAATAGCAATATCTTCTTGCTAATTGTTTCATCTTTGTCATCATCATGTGTGTGCTGTGAAGTTCCATTAAGACACTGGCACGCAATGCCGCTGGAATGTATACTCGATTTCCTTTAAAAATGATGTTATCCTGGATTGTATAATCAATGTTCTGATCATTGCCTTTCTTCAGTTCGTCTAGTATTTTTGCTAGTTCTGGATCTGTTGCTGTATGTTCTGCAATTACGGTACTGGTTATTTCTGGCGTTGATATTTGATGTAGAGTCTGATAAAAACATTCTGTTACTTCACAATCTAGTAAGGCCTGGTTTCCATCTGGCTTGACGTCTGGAAGCGGGCAACGCGATAAATAATCAACATTGATATGATCTTCGTTTTTCCGATGTTGGATTTCATAGTTAAATGAGGATAAATATGATGCATAACGCAAAAGTCTTGCTGCTGTCATAGGCGGAAGTTTGGCTTGATGGTGGAAGATTCGCGTTAGAGGTCGATTATCTGTGATGAGTGTGAATTTACGGCCGTAAATGTAGATATGAAACTTATCGAGAGCGAAGACAATTGCTAGAGCTTCTCTGTCAATTTGACTATAATTTTGTTCTGCTGGAGTGAGAGACCTAGAGACATAAGTAACCGGATATTCCTTTCCGTTGATTATGTGCGATAAAATTACTCCTATTCCTGTGGGACTGGCATCACATGCGACTGTGACTGGCAATTTTGGATCATACGCGATTAACGTCTGATCGCTCGCAATTTGATTCTTGAGTTCAACGAATGCTGCTTCACATTCTGGCGTCCATTTATTTTGCTTTGATTTCGTAATTAGTTGTCGAAGCGGAAAAGTTAAACTGGATACGTTCTTAAGAAATCTGGAGTAGTATGTAACTATTTCTAAGAATTGTTTGACCTCTGTTGCATTTCTAGGCCTCGGAGCATCGACAATTGCTTTGATCTTTCAAGGGTCTTTCGAGATTTTCTTACCTTCTATAATATACCCTAGATATGCTATTTTTGTCTGAAAAAGTTGGCACTTCGAACGATTGAGATGAAGATTGTAATCTTGGAGTCTGCGAAGACATGCAATTAAATTTTCTCGACATTCTTGGAGAGTAACTCCGTGTATCAAGATATCATCAAAGTATGATTCTACTCCTTTCAATCCTTGTAAAATATTAAGATCCTGTTAAATTCCCCCGGAGCTGTCTTGATACCAAAACTGAGACGATTCATTCGATAAGTTCCTTTGTGCGTTGAAATCGTTTGTATCTGACTACTTTCCTCATCCACTTCCACATGTAAGTAGGCCTTATAAAGATCGAGTTTGCAATAATAATTTGATTCTTTAATATTTTGAAGTAGCTCTTCGATTCTAGGTATCGGATAATGTGATTCCATGAGTTGAGGATTGACAGCAACTTTATAATCAACACAGAGTCGGATTTTCCCATCTGGCTTGGGAACTGGAACTAATGGCGATCCCCAGTCGCTCTTTTCTATTGGTGTGATGATTTCGTCTCTTTGGAGTTCTTCTAATTCTAATTCCACATCTTTTCGGATAGCATAAGGGATTTCTCTCGGTTTTATAAAAACTGGTTTAGAATTATGACGGAGTTGAAGAGAGCATTTCATATCTGGGATTTTACCTACGGTTTGCTAAAAAATCTTTGGAAATTGTTTTGTTAACTCATCGATGGTTAAGGCCTGGATTGATTCAATTTCTGCTACTTGTGTTATTTCCCTGTTGTCAAGTTCTTTTAGGTTAATATTTAGATGACGTATCCAGGATCGACCCATTATTGGTGAGAATCCGTCTGATAGTACAAACAATGTTTCCTTCGACTGACGTCCCTTATATGTAACTAATGCTTCCGTTGCCCCCAATGGTGTAATTATTCCTGCATCATAAGTACGGAAACGAATTCGCACCTGTGACAAAGGGACTGGAAGGTTTAGTTGTACAAATTGTGATTTCGGAATTAACGTATATCCGCATCCTGAATCGACTTCAAACTGCTGGATTTTATCATTAATTTGAACCTGAATAACGTATTTTTCTGTGTCTTTAGACATTGAATTTGAAAATAGATCGACTGTGGTAACTTGTTCGATATATCCTAGATCTTGAAGTGACAAATAATCTGTTAATTTTATTTCTGGTTCTTTATTTAATTGGACTGTTTTAATACTTTGATTTTGCTTCTTTTTAAGAAGTAGCGTTGAAATGCATACTTTAGATATGTGACCTAGCTTACTACAAGAATCACATTTCAATTTATTGACTGGAATTCTACATTCTCGACTTTTATGATTATCTCTACCGCACTTGATACACATATTTTCGATTCCTAACGTTTTGAAGTCTAATCTGGATCTGGATTGTGATCTGTTCCGATAAGATCCTGGTGATCTGAGCCTTGCTCTTGAGTTCCTACTGTGATGATTTTCCTGGTTTTTCTTCGATGCTAATCGTGATATCTGGCTTACTTCTTTGACGTCTTTAGAACTCTGTGAAGAATTTGCTTCCTTTATTTCTTGGTTATCTAATCTAGACATTTCCATAGCTATCGCTTTGTCTACTGCCGCCTGGAATTCAATGTCTGTTTCCTGCAATAATTTCTCTCTAATGCTAGAATCTTTTATACCTCTTATAAATTGTGCTCTCAGAAATATATTTGCAACTGACTTACCACAGGCGCATTCAAAATTACATGTGGGTAAAAACTTACGTAACGCAGCCACATATTCACCTATTGATTCTTTCTCTTCTTGCATCCTTGACAAGAATCGATGTTGTTCGATTAATTTTCCCGGCACAGGACTCAGATATTTTTCAAGTGATTCGACAATCATATGTGAGGTTTTCGAGAGTATTCGGCGCATTGATTGATTTAACAATTTTGTATGTTTCACTTCCGACGCAATTTAAGAACATTTTCTTTCTCATTGTCTGGCTTGTGATGCCCTTCATTTCTACGAAGTTTTCGAATCTCTCACGATATTGACTGAATTTTTCGGTGTCTTTCTTGAATGTTTCGAAATTTAGAATCAGAGAAGGGTTTATAGTTGACATACTTGCTGTTTGTATATTTTGCATAGCTGCGACGAATGACGCCATAAATGTTTGGAATTGTGACTGATCCATTCCTGTGTCAACTTTTAGTTTCTTCCAATTTAGCTTGATTTATTAAATCTTGCTTACTATTCTACTGATCTTCTTAATCCTCATCGCCAATACTGTTGTGGAACTTATGATATTTATTCAAATTCGGATACATGAAAGAATGAAAAGGTTAATAATACAGATGCACACAAAACATATTCGTTACCAAGAAAGAAGGGGAGAGAGCGTTAACATACATTGAGGAGCGCAGCAAGCGCCATGAACTACTGAGTTACCTAGATGGTACTATAACAATGAAAATATATAATAGTAGTAATATGTTTTCCTACAGGTATTAAATCTGAAATAATAATGGGACCCTGTCCAGTTTTAACAAACGCGCTAATTAAATAAAGAAGTTTCAAGCTTCATAAGTGTATTTATTTGCGCGTATAAAGAAGTAATATACAGAGATGAATGAAAAAGTTGTACTCACTTTAACGAGAAATAATAAAATAAAATGAATAATAAAATGATTATTATAACTCTTGACATAAATTATAATTTGTAATGTTACAATCATCAATCATGTCCATTTCTCTATTCGTTGATTTTTGTATTTTATTGTTCCAACGACAATTATTTACGCATATGGGCACACTGAGAAAAGAATATAGTCAATTTTAATAAATATTTAGTTCAATACTGCCAACTAAATATTTACTTACAGTAAATAAATATTTATTTAATAACATAATCAATTGTCATCCCCGCGATACCACAACTAATAGTAAAATGTTCATGGTGTAAGAAGTCAATATGTTAAAACATTTTTTCATCGAGTATCATTATTATGAACGATACAAAATATATACATTTATTATGTATAACCATTAAAAAATTTTTCATTATTTTAATTTTTCATTAAGTACGTTTAGAAAATAAATGAGATATTAAAGCGTAAAACTGAATATAAATTTAAGAGAATAATCTGAAGATATTATAAGGAAGTAATATACAGAGATGAATAAGGAGAAAGGGCACATAGAGAAAAAAATATAATCAATTTTAATAAATATTTAGTTCAACCAATTAAATATTTAAACTAAATATTTGTTAAATCAAATTAACATTTCTTGTATCAAATAAATATATTTTTATATCTAATAAATATTTAGTATGGCCTGTATTCAACTGAATATTTATTGAAGTTGTTAACACACACTTACTTTTCCGATAACGAAAGTTACTTTTCCGATGCGGCGGAGCACTTTGTGCGCCCGCATGATGAGCACAAACGGAGAGTCGCGTATCCGGTTTTCGTTGAGATCCGGCTCGAAGGACCATTTTGTTGCCGGCGCGGTGGCGGGAGCCTTCTATCTGGTTCCCCCATTAACGACAATTAAGACGATTTATTTTTGCGCCGGGTTCGCTCGGACGCTTCGACGGAGCCCTCTCGACCCGTCGCTCTCCAGATTCGTACTGACTTTCGTCGCGCGAACTCGAACGGCTCGCGGCTTTGATTTTGGAAGCGATAACGCGATTCGCCGATAACATCGGCCCAGCAACGAGCGACGAATCAGGGGGTAACACACCAAGTACGACGAGGGCCTTTTTTCCGTGTCGAAAGACTCCCGTCGTCATCGGCACACAAACACTCGCTCTCGACGGCGACATTGTATCGAAAGTCGAATCAACAAAGATTCGAAG